GTGCAACTGTGTGGTAGTTGAACATTCTTTGAAATCGCCTTTCTTTGGGATTGCAAGAAAAATGACCTTTCCAGTCCTGTGGCCACTGCTGAGTTTTCCACATTTGCTGGTATATTGACTGCAGCACTTTAACAGCATCATCTTCAAGGATTTGAAATAGCTGAACTGCTATTCCACCACCTCCATTAGCTTTGCTCGTAGTTATGCTTCTGAAGACCAACTTGATTTCCATTTCAGGATTTCTAGCTCTAGGTGAGTGATCACACCATCATGGTTATCTTGGTCATTAATATCTTTTTTGGTACAGTTCTTCTATATATTCTTTTAACCTCTTCTTATTATCTTTTGCTTCTGATAGGTCCATATCAGTTTTGTCCTTTATTGTGCCCATCTTTGCATGAAGTGTTCCCTCCCCATCTCTAATTTTCTTAAAGAGATATCTGGTCTTTCCCATTCTGTTGTTTTCTTCTATTTCTTTGCACTGATCACTTTGGAAGGTTTTTTCTTTTTTTTAAGTCTCTCCTTGCTATTCTTTGGAAATCTGTGTTCAGATGGGTGTGTCTTCCTTTTCTCATTTGCTTTTGTTCCTCTTCTTTTCTAAATTATTTGTAAGGCCTCCTCAGACAACAATTTTGCCTTTTTGCATTTCTCTTTCTTGGGGATGATTTTGATGTGGTATGTACTGATCAAGAAATGAAGATCATTGCATCCAGTTCCATTACTTCATGGCAAATAACTGCAGAAACACTGAAAACAATGAGAGTCTTTATTTTCCTGGGCTCCAAAATTACTGCGGACAGTGACTGAGGCAGTGAAAAAAAAGATGCTTCCTTCTTGGAAGAAAAGCTATGGAAAACCTAGACNGGCAGAAGGAGAGGGGCCAAAGGGATTAGATGTTGAGACAGCATCACCAACTCAATGGACATGAGTTTGAGGAAACTCCACAAAATAGTGAAATACAGGGAAGCCTGTTCTGTTTCCATGCATGTAATCACAAAGAGTCAGACATGACTTAGCAACTGAACAATACCAATGAGAACAGAGGATGCAGTGAAGCCTCTGGCCCTGGTGGGAGTGGAGAAAGATTTAGGTGGAAGGGGAGGCTTCCAATTCTCTGGTGCAGGTCCTTGAATTCAAGGCAAGGAGCACAAGATATTGAATGTGTTACCAAATATTGTTTTCTAAAGAAAAAAAAAAAACATTATCTGTAGGAGTGAGAGCTTTGACTGAGTTTGTGCTCTAGATTTTACTGAGGGATGTGGAAGGAAACTGGAGTGGGCTGAGTCTGCAAAAAGCAGGTGATCAGGTGCTGGAGGGTGAGGCATGTGGTAAATATTCTGTACTAGGTGGAAAACGAATGCAGAAAAATTGTCTCTTCTGGAAGGTACATGCCAACATGTCCCTTTGTTGAGGCAGATCACTTCAGTGGTGTTTTGGGGCAAGTGAGAAATGCGCAGTGGTTGGCTTGCTTTTATCAATTTCTGTGGGTAGTTAGACGAGTCAGTGTCTGGTTACTTCACTGCATGGTTGAAATCATATTTGGGAAAGAAAACTAGATGAGGTCCACATATATTTCATCATTAAACAGAAAGGATAGGAAGGTTTCTAAGGCAACTGTAGGTAATTTCAACATGAGGGGCCAAATGAGGACAGTTTCATTTAACAGGCTGAGATTGGACTGTACAGGTTGGCATAGTTGTTGCTATGACAAGTAGCCATAACAGCTACTTGTCGCTATGCTGGAGATGTGGGAAACTGACAAGACATGAAAAGCCTTACAACTCTCTGTGCAGTGCAATTTCAGGCTAGAAGTAGTTGGCAAGGAAAGGCTGACAGGTAAGGCTGTAAGGGAGTAATCTGAGCCAGTAACCATTAGCTCTTGTTGGAGCCCAGAAAACAGAAGCATTGGCTCAGTCAGAGTTCTGTGTCATGGTTCAGAAATAGAGGACATTTGGTTTGAATCAATATTTAGCCTTGGGGATGTCAGCTATAACCTCTAAAGAGAATATTCCCTTCTCCCCGGGTGGGATGATAATTCATGTTTGTTCCAGACTCAGGAACCCAGAAAGCCCTCTCAGTGCCACTTGTTCTCAGCAGGCACACATGCAATCTAGAAGGTGGAATTATCATCATGGTGCCCATTTTCCAGATGAGAAAACTAATATTAAGGGATTTGATCAAGTTCATACACCTATAACATGAATCGCCAAGCAAAAACCCAGGGCAACATTCCTCAATATGTATGATTTTGCTCCACACCCACTGGGAGTGGTGGGTAGTGATCTGGCAGAATGCTTAGGCAGAAGCAAGCAATATTCAGGCTTAAATTGAAGAAAGTAAGGAAAACCACTAGAACATTCAGCTATGACCTGAGTCAAATCCCTCATGATTATATAGTGGAGATGAAAAATAGTTTCAAGGGGTTAGATCTGGTATCCTGAAGAACTGTGGATGGATGTTTGTAACATTGTACAGGAGGTGGTCACCAAAACCATCCCCAAGGAAAACAAGTATGAGAAGGAAAAGTGTTTGCCTGAGGAGGTCTTAAAAAAAGCTGAGAAAATAAGAGAAGTGAAAGGCAAAGGAGATTGGGAAAGCTATACCCAATGGAATGCAGACCTCCAGAGAAAGGCAAGGAGAGGTAAGAAAGTCTTCGTAAGTGAGCAGTGCAAGAATTAGAGGAAAATAATAGAATTGTAAAGAGTATAGAAGTCTTCAGGAAAATTGGAGTTACCAGAGGAACACTTCATGCAAAGATGGGGACAATAAGGGACAGCAAAGTCAAAGACCTACTAGAAACAGATGAGAGTAAGTGGAGGTGGCACGAACCCCAAGAGAATCTGTAAAAAATGGTCATAAATTTGGGAGGGGGATGATGCTTGGGTCACTCTTGTAAAGCTAGATATACTGGAGCATGAAGTCAAGTGGGCCTTAGGAAGCATTACTACAAACAAAGCTAGTTGGAGGTGATGGAATTCCAGCTGAGCTCTTTAAATCATCCTAAGGAATGAAGCTTTAAAACTGCTGCATTCAATATGCCATCAGTTTGGAAAACTCAGCAGTGGCCATAGTGCAGGAAAAGGTCAGTATTCAACCAATCCAAAAGAAAGACAATTTCAAAGAATGTTCAACCTATCATGCAATTGCTCTCATCTCACTTGCTAGCAAGGAAATGCTCAAAATCCTTTAAGTTAAGCTTCAACAGTACATGAACTGAGAACTTCCACATGTACAAATTGGTTTGAGGAACCAGAGATCAAATTGCCAACATCCACTGGATCATAGAGAAAGCAATGGAATCCCAGAAAAATCATTTCTGTCTGCTTCACTGATTATGCTAAAGCTTTTCACTGTGTGTGTGGATCACAATAAACTGTGGAAAGTTCTTAAGAAAGTGGAAGTACTGCCAGGGTCCTGCCTCAGCAGGATCCAGGGGTACCCTCAGGATGAATGTCATCGGTGAGACACAGAGAGAGAGAGAGAGAGAGAGAGAGAGAGAGAGAGAGAGAGACCAGACTTGGGTGTGTGCAGCAGGGTCTGGTGTTGCTTTTTTTTTTTTTTTTTACTGTAGCTTTTATAACCTCAGTATAGTACATTTCTAAGGGGAGGTGAAAGATAAGCATACAAAGTTTAGGTTAACATTACATCAGTTTGTCCTTTACAAAACCAGGGTGTTTTCTGCATATTTAATTTTTATGAACATCTTCTTTCATAGCAGATCTTTGTACATTATCATCTAGCCTTGGGGCCTATTAACATTTTATGACCTAGGTGAAGGCAAAGCTGTTTTCTGTAGTCTATTCTTTATTGTTCTATTTTGCCTTGAGTTTAGCAGAAAACAGAAAAGTTGCAGTCACATGGTATAGCAGGTTGCAACATAGTAGAAATACAATCCTGTTAACAAAAAGGTCAGTCTTTTTGCAGAAGTTTTCAGCTAAATTTATCTAAAAAATTTTGCCACACAAAGACTCTGTGGCTCTGGTGAGGCAGCCTCTGTTTTAGCACTCTTGGTTAAAATTAACAATTATGTTATTGTTTCTACCCTAGGGCTAAACTCTTATTTTTCTAAATCCTTAACTATATTAACAATGGTTTCCACTGCACAACCTCAGTACCATAACAGCAATAAAACATAGATCCAATAACGACTTTAGAATTATATTTTTTTGTGTTTTCTAATAGGGCTTTTTCTCCCCCCAAAGGGCTCTGTGCCTATCAGGGACTTTTGTGTGGTCAGGTTCTTTACACTGTTCATGATTAAGGTGTTGTGAGCAGTCGTGTGCATTAGTACGCATTTGCCAAACAAACCAGAGTGTCAGCAAAAGGGTTTTAATTGAAACGTTTCCTTCATTCCTGGCCCCTTCATAGGGAACCAGTATCCAGGAGATTTATTAATTAGGGTTCTATGTTGGTCTTTATTTAGTGAAAGAGGAACAGGAGAGCTCTCGTCAGGCAATGCAAAGATCCACAACAGGACAAACAAGGACAACAGCAAGAAGGGGAGGATACAGGATGGGGTAGAGGCCAGGGTCAACCTGGAGGGTCCCTTGTAGCCTGAACAGCCTTGCATTTCAGGTCTTCTCCTCATGACCTGGTCATGGGTGGGATCGCCCATAATGGCTCCCGGCAGAGTACCAGATCACCTTACCTGTCTCCTGAACAGTCTATATGTAGGTCAAAAAGTAGCAGTTAGAGTCAGACATGGAACAACTGAAAGATTTAAAATTGGGAATGGAGCATGACAAGGTGTACATTGGCACTCTTGTTATTTAAATTCTATGTAGGATACATAATTTGATATGCTGGACTACATAAATCCCAAGCTGGAATCAAGATTGCTGGGTATCAACATCCACAGATATGAAGATGACACCACCCTAATGGCAGAAAGCAAAGAACTAAAGAGCCTCTTGATGAGGAGAATAGATGCAAAAATTGGCTTAAATCTCAACATTCAAAAAACTATTCACAAAAAAATNTTCCTGAATCACTCCAAGCGTTTACACGGCTTGTGCCAGGCCAATTCTGTCATTTCCTCGATCATAAACAGAGAAGTACTGCCTCAGGAAGACGTCACCAAGGATCCAGGTCTCTGTAGATGTACTCACTGGGTTCACTTCAAAGTTGATAAAGCAGTCGCCACTACAATCCTGGGGGAGTCAAAGACGCACATCAGTCAGCCTGAGCCCTTATCAGCGACTCCCCACAATATCCAGACCGAGTAGCGTTCTTGGTTTTATTTCCCTCTTTTTGTAAGTATCAAGTGGTTTTATGAGCTTCAGGGCATGTGAGAGTTCATCCAAAACCAAAAAGGACCCATACATGCGGCTGCCATGAGGAAGGATGTGGTGAGTGGAGGACTGGGAGTTTAGGAAACAGTGGAAATATAAACAACAAAGTCCTACTGTAGACAGTAAGGAACTATATTCAATATCCAGTGATAAACCACATGAAAGAGAATAAGAAAAAGAATATATATATTTTTATGTGTATAACTGAGTCACATTGCTGTGCAGCAGAACTTAAGGTGACACTGAAGATCAGCCACACTTCAATACAATTTTGAGAAAAGAACGAGAGTGTCTCTTGTTTCTCCTCACTCCCTGTTTCTTTCCTTCTGACTCCTGCTCCTTGTTTTCTCTACAGAGAATGCAGGTCCTCCTCCAGCAACCCCACAATCCAAACATTATTAAAAAACTTTCTTTTGTATTGGAATATAGTTGATTAACAATATTCTGAGTTTCAGACGGACAGTAAATGGACTCAATTTTATGTATCTATGTATCCTGGTCCCAAAAATACCCCTCCCATCCTGACTGTCATATAAATGAGTGGAGTTCCCTGTGCTAAACTGTAGCTCACTGTTGGTTATCCATCTTAAATACTGCAGTGCCCACAACACATTCTTGAAAACTCAACTCAGGAGCTCTGGGAAGACTCCTGCAGCCCACACTCATCCTCTTTGGTCACTCCAGGCTTGATTGGGTAACTTACTCTGGTTCCCCATCCCCACGGGTCAGTCTGTAGCCCTCATCACCCCTAGTAAGTCCCCAGTGCCCCAATGGAGAGCACCTTGGGATGCCATTTCCATAGAATCCAGTGCAGTGTTGCCTAGAACCAAGCAACCCTCCATATGGCTCTGTGAGTTTGTGGTTTTAGAATTCCTGAAATTCCCTCTGTTCCTCAAAGCCTTCCTTGAGCCCGTCAGCCTGCTATGTACTCCCACAGGGGGTTGACATGAAGCCTCCACTCTGTGCCAGGGCTGAGCAGTCACTGTGCACCCTTTATTCACCTTAGTATTCAACCTCCCCACAGAGGGGCTGGGTACCCCAACTCACAAAGGGGGCACCTGGCCAGAGCAAGGAGAAGAAGCAGCCAAGATCTAGGGTGACCATGTAATTTATCATCCAAAGCAGGAAAACTTTAAGAAGGGAAGGGAGACTGTTAATTTATGATGGAGCATCACTGGCATTTTCCCCAGCCATTCTCCTTGTAACATGGCCTATTTCAGGGACTGCTAGTGCTGACTTTCATGTTCATGCACCTAAGGGTTCAGATTGAACTCAAGCTCTCTGAGGACTGATGGCCTCAGTGTTCCCCTCGCCTTGTAACTCCCACCATGTCAGCATGTTGTGGCGTCTCCACATTTATTTCAGGATGATCAGTGTCCCAGACAGCCCTTTACTCTCAAGTAGTTGGTTCTGTGGGAAGCACTGGCCCAGCCACAAGGCTCAGAAGCATCTGCAATGGTGTGACATGGCCTGCAGATGGCGCCCTCCTCCCAGCAGCAGCACAGGGGTTCCTGCAAGCTCCAGTTTGATAACCAACCCTCAATATTGTCCCCTCACCTTCATGGTGTAGGCTTGAGCTGGCAGTGGGTATTTGATGCCGTTGATGGAGAAGTCAATAGAGGGCAGGGTATTGACCGCATAACATGAAACATAGTGCTATTAGAGAGAGAGGGAGAGAGGTTGGCCCTGGAGATCATTGTTGTGTGTGGATACTGGGAGTGACCCTGGGGCATGACCTTTCACCTCAGAACCCCGTGGCTTGGCACCGAGGAACCTCAGGATCTTATTGAGCAGTCTTCTTGGGCCAAGGATCGATGATGCCCCGGTGTCCACAAGGGCCTCACAGCCGCCATGACAAGCAACAGTCTGTCCTTCCATGGAGATGCTGAGAGACAGTGGAACAAAGCGGGCATTGATGTCATTCTGAGTCTCCCCAGAGTTGCTCGCTTCCTGTCTGTCTCCTAAACAGCACTTTGTCTCTTTCCCTGACTCTCTTCATCTGCTCTCAACACGGCACCTCCCTTGACATCCTTGAATGCAGTACTTGAATACACCAGGATCTTTTGTACCTTGAAACAAGCTGGCCTTCCTTCCTAGAAGACTCCCCTCCCCTTTGACTAGAAATGTCTCCTCATCTTCCAGATTCCAGCTTAATTGTCATGGATTCACGGAAGTCTTTCCTGCGGTGTTTATCATTCTCCTGTCTTTGTCACTTGCTGTAGACCCTTCCCCACAACTAGCATGTACCAAAGTCACAATTCACTTAGTGTGTGTGTCACTTCTGTGCATCTGCCTTCTTAGATGTGAGGGCAAGTTTTATTCTCATTGCCTCCTTAAAGTGCCTGGCACACAGTGAATGCCCAATGTTTGTCTGTTCCATGAGTGAATGAAGACTGAAAATAATGAAATACATCCAGAGAGCTGTATCTGGTAGGGAACAAATAATGGGTGGAACACAGTGTGAAGATGGAGATTCCCAGGGGCAGCAGATTCTCCTAATGGAGGAAGAGAGGGGCTCCTCTGGGAGAGGGTGTCTCCCATCACTACTCCTACAACCAGCTCAGACCCTGAGATCCTGGCCAGGAAATACATGATTAGCCCACGGAAACTCCAAAAGAGAGGTCAGCTTTTGTCTGAGGGTATCACACAGAATCCTATCACTTATTGTCTCTTGTCCTCAGGTCACTCCTCGATCCCACCTTTCTGATTCTCTGTTATAGCCCCTGTCCCACTCTGTGCCCAGGGATGTGGGCTGTCTTTTATATTAGTTGCTTTCACATCTTAAGACTGCAGCCAACCTCTCTTCACTGCTGGGTAGCTTCTCCATAAGGCGACCAACTTTCCACATTTGCTGAGGTTTTTCCCTGTTTGTAAACTGAGACTTATCTGTACTGAGAACTTGCTTGGTCCAAGGTAGCCATGGGCAGTTGGTCATCTTATCATAACGCTGTCCAGGCTGGTGAAATCCTCCCTGATCCTGTTCACCACACTGCAGAGTCCGCTGACCATGCTCCCTGCCTCACAGGGCAGCGGATGCAATGCTCTCCCAGCTGCACAGACCTCTCTGGACCCTGTGAGGACCCTGGTCAGAACCCTGGTCAGGAAGCTTGGAGATTATGAATCCATGGGCTGTTTGTGCATCTATGTGCTTGTGTGTTTGTGTGTATGTGTGTTTGTATGTGTCTCTGTGTGTGCTTCTGTGTCTCTGACTAGCTATGCATGTTTATATGTGTCTCTGTGTATGTGTATATGTGTCTGCTTGTGTGATTCCATGTGTCTCTGTGTCTGTCTGTGTCATTGTGAGTGGTGTAAATGTTTGTGTGACTATGTGTCTGAGAATCCATTTGTGAGTGTCTGCCTGTGTCCATGTACAGATATGGAACATCCCTTGGGTTGACCCTCAAAGGGAGAGCCTTACCGGTCCATGTGGACACGCCAGTTGCCTGCTTGTTTCAACGGTACCCAGTTGAGCACTCCCTGGTAGTAGGATTTATCCACCCCACCAAACATCACCACACTGCCCTCCGCCTTGCTCCTGTAGAGAGATGACAGCAGGGGGATCCTTGAAAGATGATAACAACAGCACTGTTTGAGAGCTTTGCTTCTCCATCCATCAAGGCCCTAATAAGGTCCTCATCGACAGATGCAGATATCGAGACTAGGAGTGATTTGAAGACCAGACTGAGGTTGGTTACTCGCTAATGAGTGGCACAGAGGAGGTTAGAAGCTGAGTCACCTGACTGGGCTCCACCCACTATATCTTCTGAAGATGCCCTGGACATCCTGTGACCTGAGAGCTCAGACACCCTCAGAGGACAGGGTACTGAAGCATTTTGGCTTTCCCCTTGTCCATTTTGTCATTTTTCAGGAAAATCAAGGCCTGAGAGTGCTAAGGGTGTGAGATCAGGTCACCCAGAGTTGGCTCCACTGGCCTGTGACCTCTACTGTCCAAAGGGCCCCACACTCAGAAGAGACCCCACAACTGCTCTCCCTGTCTTGAAATGCCTAACATTTCTTGAACAAGGGTCCTGCACTTTTTGTGTGTGTCCTACAATTTCATTTTTCACTGACTTTTGCAAATTGGGTAGCTGGTCCTGGGCTTGCAGTGAAATGCTAATGAGGAAGGAAAGCTACCCACCATCCTTCTCCTTCCTTATCAAATTCATAAGGAAATCCTAATGCCCTTTCCTTCAACTTGTTTCCTGTTGCCTCTCATTAGTCTTCCTCCTCACTCATCCCCCTAGACCAAGTTACTGATCATGAGCCAAGGAGCAGGGTTATGTTCCAATTTATCATTATTTATAAAAGCAGGTGGTGAAGCCCTGAAGGGGCCTGGGGCCATAGTTACCTTGGGTTAGATTATCTCTTGGGATATTTCTTTATCAAGTATTCTATAAATTTCACTGAAAGCAAATTACAGCTAATTTGGAGAAATGGATTGTCCATCTCAGACTTACTTGCTCAAGTAGAAGGCAAAAACCGGCTCAGAAATGGCACCTTGATTCTTCAGGTTGTCAAAGATGGGGATGGCTCCAATGAAAGACATGTTGGGGTAGTTCAAGCCCAAGATGCCATCTAAAGGCATTTCCTCAAACCCGTATTGCTCCACACTTAAACCAAACGGCTGGTCAGTACTTACAAGGTCCCCAATCTATGGGAGAGAAGAGTGATCCCACTTAGAGATACATGAAGTGGGGCTAGGACTGGGCTGGGGTGCATTGCCAATAGATCCTCAGAGAAGAATTGAGGCTGGGCTGTGTCTTCGGTGGAACTCACACAGTTAGACCAAACTGGGAGGGGAATTTTGGTTCCATTTGTGAGAGGCTGTGAATTTTAAAATATCTGACCCTCTGAAAGACACCACCTGATTGAGTCAAATTGGCCTCATGGCTTCTGTAGAGGTGGGGCAACCAAGTCAGGCCAGGACCTATCGGTGCCCCCTTGTGGACAAAATGAGCCAAGAGCATGGTAGCCTTCTCTTTGGCATCACTGTGACCTAACGACAGGAATGGACTGCATTCTCTGTAAGGTACTGTGGATTCTGCATCTGTCCAGGAAGAAAGAAGCCAAAAACACATTCATGCTTGCAGGGATCTATGAAATTCCTGCCTGGGGATTCACTTTTGGGGATAAGTGTGCCTTTGTGTGAGTGTGTATGAGAAAGAGACAGGGGGGAACTATTCAAGTACTTTGGCAGAGGCAGGCCCTAAGTTTTGTTGGACTCTCAATGGCCCCCTAGAATGAGAACTCATTTATGAGGCCCCCTAACTTCTCAGGCCTCCAGTTTCCCAGTCTGGATACCTGAAGCCCTTAACTGCCCCGAGGATCCCCAGATCAATTTTATCCTTTCCCCAAACACCCCAAGCAACTTCAGTCCTGAAAAGCCAGCCGAGCTCCACTGTTTACCACATGTTTGTCATCAGCAAGGCCCTTGCTGTCTACACCTGAGTTTCCTCATGTCACATGAGCTAATCAGAGAAACTGCTGTGTCGGGCTGTCAGGACTAAACCATTTATCACCTGAAAGTGCCTAGAACAGTCAGAGAATATAAAAGCGGGTGCCTTTTCCCCCTCTTCTTGCTCCCAGCAAAATGAACCTTGAACTATTCATGGGCAGAGAAGCTGCAAGTCCCCATCTCAAGCCACTCTCTGTGTTAGCTAATCTGTGTGCTCATGTGTCACCATGGGCACTGCCTCCCCAGGGACAGGATGCTGTGGGTAAGATGATGGCCAATAACTATGGGAGTTAGTTGAGGAAGGGTCCTGCCAGAAGGTCCTGAATCTGTTTTGCAAGCAGTGGTCACTCCATAGCCAGTCCTGACTCAGCATTTGTTACACTGTTACCCAAACGGTGTCACGAGCAACAAATCCCTTCATACTCCCAGAACCGTATGTGATGCTGAAGGTCTTATTGGTTTGCTGGTAGGTGGAAGACTCATTATGTCTGAACAAAACGTGTGAGGCTGCAGACACAAGAGATAAGTGTCATCAGGTGCCAAGGGTGCAAAACAGGGTGGCAGGGCGAGGGAAAGATGGTCCGGGTAAGGGGTGTCTGTACTCACAACAGGTTGGGTACTTGCAAAAGATGGACGGCACCCACAAGTCAGATGATGCTGTGTCAAAGAGAACCTGGAATTCCTGAGGGGGTGTTCCAATGGTGATGTTACCCACATAGATCATCTACAGGGACAAACAGTGAGTGGGTTAGTGCAGAACTGGCTATCCTATATTCCCACACTCATGCCTCTCTCTGGATGTCACATATCTCTTGAGATCACTTTTTAACCACCGTGCAGCTCACTGACGTTGGTCCCAGAGGTGCCTGCATTTGAAATGTTTTTCATGTCCTACATGGTACACAGGATATTTACTCTGTGACCAGGTGTTGAAGTGGTACCTCCTGCATTGGAAGCACGGAGGCATACCCACTGGATCTCCAGGACCACTAGACACCCAGGGAAGTCCTGGTGCCTTCATTTGAGAAGCTCTGTAGTCTCTTCCAACCCAGCCTTAACACCCCCTTCTCCAGGACGTCCTTCTTGATCAACCTCAGCCACTCCCTCTAAACTCAGACCACACCCAATCAACACCATAGAGGTGACCCTTTCATTTCGCATGTATTTACTAATATGTCTATCTCTCAGGCTGGCATGAGTATTCTTGAAGACAAACTAAGCCCTCTTTCCAATCCAAAAACAGTAACCACAGTGTTAGATACTGAAGGCTTTACACGGAATACGGGTTCAGTATCTTATTACAGCTGTGGTTCTTGGTTTTGTGGAAACTGATTTCCTCTGCCTGGGGATTCACAATTGCTTTGCCTTTGGTTTTAACATTTGATCAGTGATGGTTCACTCTTCATCTGTAACTGATTGACTCACTTATTTCAGCAGGAACAATCTCCCTCAAACTAATGACACATCTCTGACACAGAAATGGATATTTACCTGCCACCTGGGAATTGCCGGGCCCAGTCACAAAGACCAACAGTTGAGAATGAGATTGTGTTCTCCTCTGGGTGGGCTCCCTGTTTTCCAGTGTTCCTGCCTCCTGCAGGAACCTCAACTCCACATCCCACCAGGCATTTCCATATGAGCCAAGGTGCTAGGCTAGAGCAGTATCCCCCCAAATACTCACATCCTCCACGTTTCTCAGGGGGTGAGTAGCTATATTTGACCCAGGAGAAGAAGTCTGGTGCAGTCTGTAAGCATGTTCCTTCAGGAAATTGTTCAGCATGTTTTTTTCACTGCGGGTTTCTCTCATGATCTTCACTCTGGTTAGAGGTATTCTTTACCGAGCATTTGACAAAGAAAACAAAGAAGAAGCTACAATTAGCTGTCAGTGTTCAGGTATAACTGTCGTTGTAATGGCCCTGTGTATTTTCTAATCATTTTTATGAGGCATATTATTATCACAATTTTATGCATATACCATGGCAAAGACATAGGTTTGATTACAGCTTCTGTTCTGCAATCTGGGATAAGCCATATAACCATGTGGAGTCTCAGTCTCCACCTCGGTAAAATGGTGGAATGTAGCAATACAAACCCTCCAAATAGAATATCTTGGGGTAAGTGAAGTGATAGATATAAGGTACCTGATAAATAGGAAGTCTCAACAATGACAGCCATTAGCATTGCTGTTGCCATCCCACTGTATCCTTCTCATAGAACCTCAAGGAAGAGGTAGAAGGGGGACTCATACTGTTTTACAAGGGTGCAATTTGAAATGCAAAAGGTTACTGAGTTGGCTGTGGTCACACTGCTTGTCAGATATAAAACTGTATATCAAACAGTGTATCATTCTCCAAGTTGAAAGAGAAGAGGGAGTTGAAAGAAGAATCCAGGAGATAGGGAATAAATAAGGGAAATTCAGAGGCTAAAAAAGGAAGGATGAGTCAAATGAAAAATTAAAAAAAAAAAAAAACCCAGAGAGAAATACACTCACAGAGACTTCCAAAGAGATGGAGAGGTAAATGATAGTGATACAGAGATGCAGACATAGACATATGCACACTGAAGTAGACAGGGAACAAAGAGGACATGTTGAATAACATGTAGAAACGTGCAATTCCACAGGACTTCTGCATAGACTGTGCACTGAACAGTTGTAAGGAGTTGCATTTTCAATACGTCATGACTGGACCCCAAGAGTTATGCAACCATGAAAATCTCCACGAAGACCCTTGGGATCCACAGTTCCTAAAGCAAGGTACTTATCAATAAGTAAGGGTTGAGCTTTAAGACTGTCAGGGAAATATTCATCACCATCTAAACCTGATGGGTGGAAGAATAATCAGATAAAAAGAAAAATCCGAGAAAGGAAGATGATGCAGCTTACAGTCCCCATGCTTACTTGACTATGCATTCTGAGAAGGCCACCAGCCAGAGAAGCACAAGCCACTTCATGCTTCTTTCCTGGCTCCAAGTACTCAGGGAAGTTGGGGGTTATTAGCATGTAGTGGTGACCGGGAGCCCCTAGTTATATATGCTCTGCCATGCCCTAGTTTTCCCCTTTACACCACTAATCGATCTGATAAAACACAAAGCTTTTGATAAAATCTTTACCTTCCTCAGTGTCTTTGGCAAGTGGACTTTGAAGCTTCTCAGAATACAGACAATTGAACTGTAATCTCTTCCTTGAATCTTGGCTGGAAAATCTAACTGATCTGCGTGGACATTTAAGGAGACAGAGAACCTTGCCTACTTGGTGAAAAAACTGCTAAGAACATCATGAAAATGGTAACTAGGGGCCATACTCGACGTTCATGGTTTCATGTCATCTTCTTAGTCATTTGATGAGATATGCATTGCTGTCTTTGTTGGAAAGGAGATTGCTAGGAGCGTATGTTGTCAAATGACAGTGAAGACTTCAGGGAGAGCCCTGGGACCCACAACTGGTCTTAGGTAGTTGGTCTAATGGAAAGGATTGGGGAACCTGTGATGTCAGTCTGCTCAAAGTTTAGGGTAGAGTAGTAGCTCAATTGCATGGGTTTCAGTATTGGAAAATATGTCATATGCATCCACAAGATATTTTATATCATTCAAAGAATGTACATGGAAGAACTGTGTGCTGGGTTCTGGGTTAAAGGTTTCAAAATCAAAGATGATCAAGACAAAAGTAGTCTTTATTTTAGGAGAGCCAGCAGTCTATTTCTCACAAACTCATGGCCCCAGGAGGCAAGAGAAATAATAGTATGACTAGGTGGTCATGCTGGATCCTGACACCTGGGAGCAGCATTTCCTCCACTTCAACCATGCTGGAAAGTAGGCCGGTTGGTAATGTTTTTAACAGAATCAGAAGTTTGGATATTTATGCACAATCTACTGATTTTAATGTTAGCAACTAATTTTTTTTTTCTCTTTTGAATAGGTCTTTATTTATTTATTTTTTTCATTTATTTTTATTACCTGGAGGCTAATTACTTCACAACATTGCAGTGGGTTTTGTCATATATTGACATGAATCAGCCATGGAGTCACATGTATTCCCCATCCCAATCCCCCCTCCCACCTTCCTCTTGACCCGATTCCTCTGGGTCTTCCCAGTGCACCAGGCCCGAGCACTTGTCTCATGCATCCCACCTGGGCTGGTGATCTGTTTCACTATAGATAATATACATGCTGTTCTATCGAAACATCCCACCCTCGCCTTCTCCCACAGAGTCCA